TCATTGATAATTGATTACTCACATTGATTGCTCTAGTTGTTAATTGATTTTTGGTTGTTCATAGTGTGATTTAGTCAAAATTAATAATAGTTAATTATTTTCTTAGTGTAAATTTTAATGAGCAGGAGAAAGCATTAGATGTTAATGAGCAGCAGAAGTTATCGTATGATAAGGAGTAGCAGGATAAGTTATCTGATGACAAGGAGGAGCAGGAGAAGTTATCTGATGACAAGGAGGAGAAGGAGAAGTTATCTGATGATAGTTACCTTATTTTTGTAAATAGTGACTTTTATATAAATGTGGTCAATGTTAGCAAAATTGATATAATTACCTTATTTTTATATATAATGACCTTCGTTATTTTTATATATAGTGGCCTCTGTATAAATGTGGTCAAAATTGATATAGTTACCTTATTTTTGTATATAGTGACCTTTATGTAAATGTGGTCAAAATTGATATAATTACCCTATTTTTGTATATAGTGTCCTCTAAGTAAATATTGTAAAAATTGATATAGTTACCTTATTTCTATATATAGTGACCTCGGTGTAAATGTCATCAAAATGAATATAACTTGATATAATTACCTTATTTTTGTATATAGTGACCTCTAGGTTGTTTCATACCATTAGATTATCTAGTGAACATTCAATGGCTAAGATTGCTTGTTTTCACCATAAGCTCTGTGTTCAGCGGAACCTCCCCGTATATATATATATATATATATATAGTAAAACTTATTATTATTTCAAGAGAACATAGCCTTACACCAATTTTTTTTAATTTTTTTTTTCTACTAATAATTAAATAATGTGAAGGGATATTTCTCGCAAGTACTGCAGGAATCTCCCATCCATTTTCTCTCCGAAACAAGAACAGTTCTCCTAAAAATTTATGCATTACTTAAGCTATTTCCTAGAGAATCATCCATCTATAATCGGTACGTAAGTAGCTCAAATTATATTATATTGTAGTCTAGTGAAAAACCGCAACAATTTTCTTATGTAGAACCGCTAACAATGTTCCGAGTAGTTATTTTTCTTAAAATCTCTATTAAACTTAGCAACTTTCTTGTTTTTAAAAATTTATTTATAATCAATCCTACATGGACAATGCTATATAAAATAGTTACTCCGTAGATTACAAAGTGAACTGCTATTCGACGCTCCCAATTTACATGGTGACGCTCTCATTTAAATGTGAAATTACCGTTTTGCCCTTATGTTAATTTGACCTATATAAGGCTCCACCACTTTGTCACATAGTATACCGAGCAGTTTAATATTATTTCCGAGCACTTTGACCCACAACTAGCATTTAAAAAATCCCGAGCCCCATAATTCCCGAGCCCACCACCAAAAATATTAAATTTCTTTAAAAAAAGATTATCAAGGTTTAGCGACGGGTTTTGGACGACGAGCGTACGCCGGAGGCATCTTTGGAAGAATCTGTAAGTTGTAGAATTATTTTTTTTTTCGGAAAAGGCACTTCCGCCCAAAATTTCAGAAAATCCATAGGGGATCCGCCTAAGATTTCTTGATCCTCCATGGAAGATCCGGAAATTTCAGGCAGATGTATACTTCCGCCTTTCATTGATTAATATTATTATTTTTATTATTATGATTATTTTTTTTTGTTATGATTATTATGATTATTATTATTATTTTTGTTATGATGATTGTTGTTGTTGTTGTTGTTGTTGTTGTTGTTATTATTGTTGTTGTTGTTATTATTGTTGTTGTTATTGTTATTATTAGTTATTTTTGTTAGTATTAGTTTATGTAATTGTTATTAATATTGTCATTATTGTTATTGTTATTGTTAGTTATTTTTGTAAGTATTAGTTTATGTTAATGAGTTAATATTAGTCAATGTTAGTGTTAGTTTATGTTAGTTAATATTGTGATATTAGTTAATGTTAGTGTTAGTTGATGTTAGTTAATATTAATTAATGTTATGATATTATTATTGTTGTTGTTGTTGTTGTTGTTGTTGTTGTTGTTGTTGTTGTTGTTGTTGTTGTTGTTGTTGTTGTTGTTGTTGTTGTTGTTCTTTTAAAAATATTGGTGTTATTATTATTATAAGTAAAATACTAATATTGCCGTGTTTTTTGTGTTGTCTTGTATTTTTAAAGGATTCGGAGTTTGAAGAAGGCGGTGACGATGTGAATTACAGTGCGAATTTTGTCACAAATACGTTTTTTCCAACGTTTGATGATGCAGTTCAATGGGCGGATGCTGTTGCCATAAATCTGGGATTTATTTTGGACAAATCGTCTTACAACAAAACCAGGGATGGTAGGCCGTATCGGTATTTGAGATGTGATCGGGGACGTAGGAGCAAGCCGAGAGATCTTGAGAACGCAATTCGGAAGGACACTAAAACTAAAGCCAATGGTTGTCCTTTCTACATCAAGATATATTACGAGTTCGTCACCGATAGTTGGAAGATCCGGGCTAAAAAATGATGCAACTGGGACCCATAACCATTCAATGATTGTGTATCAGGAGGGGCATCGTAAAATTAGTGGGTTGAGCCCGGATGCGAAGAAGGTTGTGCATGACATGACGAAGTCTAAGGTTGCACCGCGTAACATCATGGCGACTATTGCTGAGCAATTTCCTGATGATCATCCAAATATCAGACACATCTACAACTGCCGGAATGACTTGAGAACGGAGATGTCTGATGGGAGAGGAGTAGTTTAGCAATCTCTACATTTGGCGAGACAGAGTCAATATCTGTATTGGGTCATGTCTGATGATCTAGGCATTTTACAGCACGTCTTTATGGTGCACCCAGTCACGATAGACATACTACGGACGTACCCGTATGTGATTGGTATGAATTTCACTTACAAGACCAACCGATACGGGATGCCGTTATTTGAGATAGTAGGTGTGACACCGACAAATCAGAATTTGCTCGATAGTTACGTGTTCATGCGCAACGAGTGCATGGCAAGCTATCGATGGGTTTTGCAGAGACTGAGAGACTTGATTGGGTATGATAAGGAACCGTCGGTTTTTTTTGACAGACCGTGAGCTTGGGCTATGTGCGGCATTGAGAGAAGTGTTTCAAGGGACCCCGCACTTACTTTGTCGATGGCACATTAATAAAGATGTGGAGGCTCGGGTCACTGATATGTTCAAAAACAAGAAGATCGGTGCGAGTTTCAAAAACGGGAAATGGAAACGTATCATGGTTGCTGCAACCGAGGAGGATTATAATGCTGCTGTACAAACAATGAAAGATCGGTGGGCAAGTTATCCAGCGGTGATACAATATGTAGAGAGAATACGGCTTTGTCATAAAACCAAGTTTGTGACATTTTGGACAAACCAAGTTCTGCATTTCGGCAACACCAGCACTTGCAGAGTTGAGAGCCAACATTCGGCCGTGAAGATGTGGTTTGAATCTTCGACAGGTTCGTTGTTTGGACTTTTCTGTATTTATTGATTATGATTAATATATTTATTATTATGATTATTATTTTTTTTGTTATGATTATTATTATCATCCTCTTCGTCAGATGTCGGCACTTGGCCCGACGAGTACATGGGGGGGCTCCCTTGCGACTGATGCTCCCCCGACCAAGTACCAGCAGACCCATATTGTTGGTCATGATGATACGGTGCCCCCGTATTTACCGAACGACCGACTCCCTCCTAATAGACGCATTCAAACGTCTTGATACTGTATGACGAGGACCCGAACCCTCAATCTACATTAAATAAATACAAAATCAAATATCAGTAATAATTACAAATATAACGATGATATTAAAGTTGAACAACAAATATTCAAATTCAAAAAAATAATTTCAAAATAATAATAAACCAAATCAAAAAAACAATAATAACAACATTACTAGGGATCAATAATAACTACTAATAATTTGAAAACAATAGTAAACCAAATCAAAACAATAATAAACCACAAAATCGGCAACATTACAACACAACAACAACAATAATAACAATGGTAATAACAACAACAATAATAATTTCAATCAATTCATTATAAAATTTTTAATCACGAAAAAATTACATAACAACAATACATAACAATAACAATAAAAAAAAATTATATTAGTCAAAAAAAAAAATACATATCAATAATCACGAGGAAAAAAAAAATTCCAAAATTAATAAAAAAACATAATACATATCAAATTATACATAACAATAACAATAAAAAAAATAAAGTTATATTAGTCAAAAAAAATTATACATATCAATAATCACGAGAAAAAAAAAATTCCAAAATTAATAAAAAACATAATACATATCAATTATACATAACAATAACAATAAAAAAAAATTATATTAGTCAAAAAAAAATTACATATCAATAATCACGAGGAAAAAAAAATTCCAAAATTAATAAAAAAAACATATACATAACAATAATACATAATAATAACAATAAAAAAAATCATATTACTCAAAAAAAAAAAAAATCACGACAAACAAAAAAAAAAAAAAAAAAATTCGGAAACCTAGACTTCTGCCTGAAAAATCCGGAAGTCTGGGGGAACTTCCGGATTTTTCAGGCGGAAGTGTGCAGGAATTTTTTTTTTTTTTTTTTTTTTTTCAAATTCATAAACACTTAAACCACAACCATACCTGCTCGCCGCCACTGATGCCGCCCCCACGACCACCGTATGTCAGCCATAGCCGAATTCAACCTTGGATGGGTGGTGTTCGTTGGTCTTTGTGTGATTTTCAAATGTTGGGGTTTTTTTTTTAAAAAAAAATTTTTGATTTATTTTTTTTTGAATTTCTGACATTTTTTTTTTTCTTCAGAGTGAAAAAATTTTAGAGAGAGATTATGTTGGTTGTGAAATGACTTGTAAGTTTCGTAAGTTAGTTTCACGAGTATTTATATACGAGGGGCAAATAAGAAAATTCAAGTGAAAAATGGAAGCGTCACCTTATAATTTGCGAACGACGTTAACAACACCCTTTATAAACCAATATGATATACAAATCATTTAAGCATTTTCTATGAAAATCGTTCATGGAACTAGCCCAAAATCTACCTCCACTCCATTTCAAATTGAATTGAATAAACCAAAAGGTTTAAACTTTAAGCCCATCATAAAACAAACAAACTACAGTCTGTATTACAACTTTCTATTACTCTCTTCACCTCCTTCGTCTTCTCTCTCTTTCTCCTCAACAATGGACCCAAACTCCATTGCAATGGCGAAACAAAGATGGGAATTAGAGAACAACATCCAAACTCTCGAAACAACCGACCCCACCGCTACAACCCCAACAACAATCCCAACAGAACCAACCCCATCTTCCTCATCTTCCACCACCGCAACTTCCGACGCTCCCGACGCCATTTTCTTCTACGACGAAGCAGCACAGACCAAATTCCAGCAGGATAAACCATGGGTTAATGACCCGCATTACTTTAAACGGGTTAAGATCTCGGCGCTCGCGTTGTTGAAGATGGTGGTTCACGCTCGTTCTGGGGGTACGATTGAAGTTATGGGGTTGATGCAGGGGAAAACTGATGGTGATGCGATTATTGTTTTGGATGCTTTTGCTTTGCCTGTTGAAGGTACTGAAACTAGGGTTAATGCTCAAGCTGATGCTTATGAGTATATGGTTGAATATTCTCAGACTAATAAGCAGGTATTTTACCCTAATTTTGAATTTGATTTTTATTTTTATTGGAAGGAAGAGTTAATTTTGATGCGGTTGTTTTTAGGGTTTATTGATTTTTGGGGAAGAAGGGTTTGATCATTGTTTTGAATTTCCTCTTTTCTGGTGTTTTTTTTTTTATTTTTTTATTTTTATTTAATGAAAGGTGAAATTTTCTGTGTTTTCGATGTGAAATTAATCTTGCTATTGATTGAACCCTAATTTTTATTGCTCATTGATCAGGGGTTTTGGGGACTGGGTAAAAAAACCCTAATTTGATGTTTGATTTTGCGAAAGTGTTGAACCCTAGACTTGAGTTCTTTATTTTGATTTCAATTTATGATTCTTGGGGGTAATTTGAAGGTTTTTGAGGTTTTCTGTATAATGTAGTAGTATGAAGCTTTGACGTTTGAGTGATTTGTTGTCTATTTGGTTGCAATTTTTATGGGAATAATGGGTTACAGTTTTGTCTTTGTGTGGGAATGTAATTCATGCGATGAATTGGTTTGAAGGGGAGAAGTGGTTCACCTCGAAAGAGTTGACACTTTCGTTGCACTTATGTGGTACACTCTGTTTTTTTAGGCTTTCAGCATTTTAACGAATTTTATCGGAAGTATGTTGATATTTCTTTTGAATAGGAAAGTAGGGGGATGGTAGAAGGGAGAGGAGTATATTGGCAGCTGTGAGAAGGATTATGATGAAGAGTGGTCATAGTAAATGATGTGATGTTTTTGTTTTAAGGGAATTTCTGTGTTTTTGTTGTGAATATAATTTTGATGTTGATAGAACCCTAGTATTTTGTTGCTCATTGATCAAGGGTTTGGAGAATCTGATGTTTGATTTTGCAAAAAGCATTGAATCCTGGACTTGAGTTCTTTCTTTTGATTTCAATTTATGATACTTGAGGGTAATTTGAAAGGTTTTTGTGGTTTTCAGTAAAATGATGTAGTTTTGAGTTTTGAGTAATTTGTTGTCTATTTGGTTGCAATTTTTATGCGATTAATGGGTTACGGTTTTGTCTGTGTGAACATAATTCATGTGATTAATTGGTTTGAAGGGGAGAAGGATTACTCTGGTTCACCTCACAAGAGTAGACACATTTGTTTCACTTAGCTAGTGCAGATTTCTAGTCTTTTAGTGAATTCTTATCGAAATATATTGACATTTCTTTTGAATAAGGAATTAGGGCGGTGGTAGAAGGGAGAGGAGTATTTTGGCAGCTGTGAGCAGGATGCTAATGAAGAGTGGCCATAGTAATCAGTAAATGTTGTGATGTGTTGTTGAATGAGAATTAGTTTTGGCATTTACATTGATGCTAGCTGTTTTGAGAGTGGATTAATTTTATTTTATTTTTTGTTGTTGGTGTTGTTGTTGAAGGAAAAACTTCTGTTTTCTTAATTTGGTTCATTTTACTTATTGTAGCACTACAGAGATGTGCATTTGCATTGAGTTAACTTATTTTCTCTAATCAACTACAGTATTTGTTTTCTCTTAGGTGCTTAATTGTATTATCTAGAAGCTACACAATTTCTTCAATAAGTCCCCATTCTGCTAATCTTATTTTGATTCACTGTAATTCAGACAATATAAGTTCAAATTAGTTCAGACAAAAGCTCAAAGAAATTCAGACAAAATTATTTCAGTCAAAATAAGTTCACATAATTATAGACAAAATAAGTTTTTACCAGGCAATTACACACACGAAGACAAAAAATTCAATGTAAGTTTTTTACCAAGACAATTAAGTTTAGATAAGATCAAATAATTTTCAAATACGGTAAGTTTTAACATAAAAAGTTGAAAAGAACATGGTCTAATTATCATCAAATTACGTGATGTTCATTCTATGTGATTTCTTTGTGCAACACATTGCTTTAAAATTTTTGCACATTTGTCCTCCTAGTTTCTTATATTAATGGGTGGTTGCTATATGCCTTGTTCTTGAAAATTTTGGATGGCTTGCTCTTCTTTTATACTACGTATATCAATGTTATTAACTTTAACTTTATATAAGAGAAAGTGTTATCATTATACTCTTTCTTGGCTATTTGTTAATCTATTTATTTCTATTTCACACTAAATCATTTAATTAAGCATATTCTTGGTCAAAATTCAAAACGACAATCAACCCTTTTCTTTGTTGGACCCTAATGTTTCGTGCCATTATTATGTCTGCTGCTGCTACTGAGTCAGTGATGCTCATGCAAACATTGGTTGTTTAGGCAGGACGTCTGGAAAATGTGGTTGGTTGGTACCACTCTCATCCTGGTTATGGTTGCTGGCTTTCGGGTATTGATGTTTCAACACAAATGCTCAATCAACAATTCCAGGAGCCCTTTCTGGCTGTTGTTATTGATCCAACTAGGACTGTTTCTGCTGGAAAAGTTGAAATTGGTGCTTTCAGGACATATCCAGAAGGATACAAGCCACCAGACGACCCTATCTCAGAGTATCAGACAATTCCATTAAACAAGATTGAAGACTTTGGAGTACACTGTAGACAGGTCTCTTACAAGCCTCTGCTGCTTTGCTGCAACTTTTGATATTATTGGGTGCTTGATTTCCTCTTCCTCATTTTGTATTTTTCCTACTTGGCAGTACTACTCACTGGACATCACATATTTTAAGTCTTCACTTGATTGCCATCTGTTGGATCTTCTGTGGAATAAATATTGGGTGAATACTCTTTCCTCATCTCCTTTGCTGGGAAATGGAGACTATGTTGCTGGGCAAATCTCAGATCTAGGTAATCTATCTAGCTTAGATTATTGTTCTGATCATTAATTTTGTTTCAAGTAAAAACCAGAATTGAAGTTGTTGAGCATCTGAATAAGTAGCTTCCTTTTGCCATTTTCTTTGATAGTATGATATCTGAACCTTACCACTTGCTTTTCACTTCATAATCAGTAACTTCATGATTGTGCAGCTGAGAAGTTGGAGCAGGCTGAGAATCAAATGGGCCATACACGATTTGGGTCTATAATCACTTCTCAAAGAAAGAAAGAGGTCAGCAGCTGGAGTGAATTTTTTTATGTTTTTTTTCCTGCAGATAATTGATTGAATTGCTTGGTTTATCTACATGGTTTCTCTACTTTTTTAAATTTCCATCTGTTTTACTGCTTTCAACGTTTTTTTTTTTTTTTTTTTTTTTGGGGAGGGGTGGGTGGTCTTTAGTCTTGGCTTAGGTGTCCATTATTGCTAAGAGCATTCGTCTTTTACAGTGGCTATAGAAGTACACATTGATCAAAGAACAGGTATATGATGCTGCACATGTACATCAACTCACAATTTTAAAGAATATGCAACACTAAAGTGACTTATTGATTTGTAAAATTAGTAAAAACTCTTAAGTAGTTAGTCTTGTCTCTTCTATGTTTTTTTCTGGAAGTAATGTGCAATGAATGTTAGTTCTTCCTTCTGTCCCTTAGCCTTACAAGTCATCTCAATCAATGATACTTGAAGTGCTTTGGATTTTAGGTTCCATCCAGGTATAATAGAAAGGGGGGAGGGGTGGGATTGAATTTGTGGCGGAATTGGAGTTTTTTTTTTTTTTCTAAAAGCTTGAGAAATTTCAACTTGCTTATACCTAATTTGTTAATGGTATGTCCCATACTGAAAGTAAATACGTTTTAACTTGCTTATACCTAATTTGTTAATGGTATGTCCCATACTGAAAGTAAATACGTTTTTGAGTGTTTTGGATATGTGTTGGTTCAGCAGTCTGCGTGATACTTTTGGCAGTGTGGTTTTTCCTTTTTGCTGTGATCTGTTTTACAGGTAGTAATTTTCAGCACATACATAAATTAGATTTACTGTAGTTTTTTTTTAATAGGGAATGCTGTTTTCTCTAGATTAGTTATGGTTAGCCCTTCTTGCTTTAGCTTTAGAAGACCAATGCCGTATGGCTATTTTTCTGCTTCTTTCTCTTGCACTTTTTCTCTGTGGACTGTGTAGGTTTAGAATAGTTACACCAAAAAGATTATGAAGCTTAGAATGGCTAGGTTTGAACCGGATTTTCTTTAACGGAATTTAACATACTTGATGTATTTTTTCCATTGCTGCACTCTACCATTTCTATATTTTGATGCTCAGTGGAGGTCATCATGACTTGCAGCCTGCTTGGTTCAACTAACTCTTGCATAAATGTATGCTTACATTAGATTAATTGAATACTCTTTCATAGAATGTATCATCTTCACACAATATCTACTTTGTCACCTTATTTCCTGAAATGTACAGATGGTTTCAGAAATATAAGGTCATGCTTGTTTTTGCTATCTTTTTTTTTTCTTTTTCCCTTGCTTTCCTTGACAATACGTTTGTCATCTCACTTGATGAAATAGTGCCAAGTAATTAAGCTGATGGATTTGATAGTCTGTTTTGTCCTTGACTTTAAAAAAATAATAAAAAAAAAAAAAAGGCCAGTGAACAGTTAATTGTGTGAATTTGAACATTTGATGCTCATTCAAAATTTGATGGCAAAGGTATGACTGCATACCCACCTAAGTGTTAGACCTAGCAATTCCAGATTGAACCGTTAAGTGTCCATATCGATGTTGGGGTGTTGAGGATCTTCTGATCCAGCATGGTATTTGAGGTGAAGGGTCCGAGTAACAAGTTTGGGAATGAGGAGTCTTGGATTTTCACATGGTAAACTTGGAATCTGAATGTTTGAAGTTTTGAGTTTAGGACTATTAATTTATGTCACATTCAATCATCAGTGTGGGTTTATGAGATGACTTGATGATTTACATAGGAAATAGGGATGGACTAGAAGTGAATCGGAATACTGAAGTCTTGGTTATAACACAATTAAGCCTTTTGTCCACCCATTGTTTTTTGGCTTAGCAAGGTTTTTCTAAGGTTGGTCTTATAACCTGTAGGTTGCCTGGTGGTTTGATTACCTAAAGGCTTAGATCTTTGAATGGGATGGGCTAACTGAGAATATAAAGGCTGTTATAGATATTCATGAGAAGCTTCACATTGGTCTTCTTGTAAATTTAGGTTAAGAGAATTGCTTGTGGATTCATTATTCTCTTTATCTCTCTTTGGCATTTTTCCTCGAGATGTTCTAATTTTTCACTCAACTAGCTGATTCTGGCATAAAGTTTCTGAAGTCTTACCAGAAATTGTGTGGTGTTTGTAGGTTTCTTTCACCTTTAAAAGAAATTGCCTTGATCATATATGTTTCTCTCTTTCTTTCACCAGTTCTCTCTTTGGAAAAGCAGATTTGCATTGAGTATAATAACCAGCTACTCCTGATGCTCATGTCTTTTGCTTTATGCTCCAGCAGAATATAAAAGCTGTAGGCACTTTTATTTGATCAGCCTGATGACAAACACTACAATACTCACATGCATCCCCCTCTATTAAGAGCTGCAAAAATGCATCCTTATGTTACGCCATTGTGCATCCTTATGTTACGCCATTTGGTCACTTTAATGTTTGTGCTAACCTGAAGTCTAGGTCAATCTGCATTAATTTCTTGGATTTTATGTAGTATTTCAATCTTGAATCTGCAACCCTGCTAACATGTTCCCTTTGTTTGGATGTATGTGGAGCTTTATATGTATCTCACTGAATGCCATTCTTGCTATGTCAAGTAGAGCTTGAAATTTATCAGTTATGGGCTCTCTAACACTAGTTTCTCTATCTTCAAAGGGATGATCTAGTTATCTCCAAATGATTAGAAAGTTTTATTCTGTAACTTTTTTTTTTTTTTTTTTTTTGACAACAATTCTGTAACTTAAATGGGATGATCTAGTTATCATTAAAAGATGAGAAAGTTTGTTTTCTCTAACTTCATTGGGATGATCTAGTTTTCATTAAAAGATGGAGAAAGTTTGTTTTCTCTAACGTCATTGGGATGATCTAGTTATCTTCAGAAGACGAGAAAGTTTGTTCTTTGTACTGCTGCAATCTTTAGCCTATATAGTAGGATGTCTGCAATTATGGCCAACATTGCTTACTTTCTCCATCAGATATGATCTGAATTACATTTTTTTTTTTACTTTAATTGCAGGAAGAGCCGGCACTTGCCAAGATTACTCGTGACAGTACAAAGATAACGGTTGAACAAGTTCATGGTCTGATGTCGCAGGTATATGGCTAATTTTGTTTGTGATGCACTAGTGCTTATAGCTTTCCACTAGTGTATCTCTAGTCATGTGATGGCCAATGTTTTAAATCTGGTTTCACTCGCCTATTACTTTATGGCTCTTGTTTCCCTCTCACAGGTCATTAAAGACATACTTTTCAATTCTGTCCGGCCAGATCGGTCCCAGGCAGAGTCATCAGAGCCCGAACCAATGGTTGAGGCATGAGTATGGTATGCATCCCATGCAAGTCCTGGAGTTTTATATAAGCTGAGGGTTTTCTTTTGAACATTTTAGATGTAAATCCCTTGTTGATTTTTGAGCACTCATACAAACTTTAGGCTTCTTATACAATGAGTGACTGCGGATCTTGTAGTCATTAATTAAAGGGTTTAATGCTTAAAATCATTCCATGTGTGATATTACTTGAATCTGGTATGAACCTTACATGCTTGTTCACGGTTTTGCCGACTGATAAAAGGTTCGCCGTCTTTGTGTTCTTCCATCAGCCTGTTTTATCCATTCTCTGTTGCAAAAGCTACAATGGTACTATTGTAGACTATATTCTTTTCCTCAGATTTCCCCAGTGCCTTGGGATATCAAAGCATATTGTTAAAGGTGAGTAAAGAGCTAGTTATGGGCCCTTTGATTGAGGCTGAGAATACGGGTTAGAGGAAAAAGGCTTATTCCATTGTTTTGGCCTTTTGCTTCTTTTGCTTTTGATATCCTCTTCATCACTTTTGTTGTAAGAAGTTTACCACAAAATTGGCAAGTTGATTCCCATTTTGCTAAAAGGTTCCATGATTCCCCTACTTAGAGAATCACAATAATGAAATTGGACCATATTTAAACACCACCTCCCATGGTATAGAATTTAATCTTGTACTCGGGTACATCTTAAGTTTAAGTTAGGTGTACCCAAGGGTATTTTACTCGTTTAATCATTTTTGCTGACTAAAACTTTCATAAAATTGATAAATCGGGTAAAAATACGCCTCGGGTAAACCTAAATTTAGATCAACCGGTAAAAAAAAAAAGTTATATTACCGGCCACGACTATTGCCCTACTACCTTAACAAATAAATATGTAAATGGTACGTCTTTAGAAAAATAAAAATGTGTAAATGTGTAGCTTCACAATCGTTGTTGCATTGCTTGGGTATAATAAAGTAATGATAGGACTAATAAAATAGATTATCTACCACTAAAAAAAAATTCCCTAAACTTGTTTAATTTAGGATATTATTAATTGATTTTTTAGTATGGGAAAAAAGTTTCTCAAATCCAATGAGACATGAACATATTGTAAAAAGTGTAGCTAAATTTGGTATTGGTAATCAATAGCTCTTGAAGGTCTAAAAGAGCAAGTAGAGTGTTTTGCCTAGGAAGAGCCATTGATTTGAAATTCACTACATAAAAATCAAATAGTGTGGAATGTGAAAAGGAGTTAGTGGTGGGACATGAATGACTTGAAAGGAAAATGAAGGCCACATAACTTGCCTTACTACTCTCAGTGAAGAATTGAATAGTTGAACAAGACAGAAATCACAAAAATAGAGACTACCGCAAATGGAAGGGACCAAGGGAGGTAGCACCTTATATAAATACTTAGTTATGAAAAGCTCATATCATCATTAAAATTGAATGACAATGTATGAAAGCCATCTTTGGTGGTTAAGGTTTTTTGCGCGCAAGAGAGTTTCAATTAGTGAATGTTAATTATCTTAATTGGTCAAAGTATTAGAGGTGAATTTTGGAAATCGTGACTAAATCCTGTGTTTTTCATTTCCCTCCTCAGCTAATTCTCTCTAAACAACATAGAGAGAAAGGGGGAAGAGGGGTTATTAATATCTTTTAGAATATATTGGATTGTTTCATAGCTTTTCCTAACATTTTTTAACTAAAGGATCATCACAATTCACAACTGGTAGATGAGAAATTGAGAATCAAACTCTCCAACTTTTCATTTGGAAGATACTGTAAGATATTGAAAATGTTGTCAAATCTTATTGCATCATGATAAATCTATGAAAATCTCAAATTCTTAATCAACATGTTAAAATGAGTAACACTGAAAGTTAATTTTTTTTTTTCTTTCTAAAAAAAGGAATATAGTTATACTATTTGAATTTGATTATCATGTTTTAAATTTAAATTATACTATCAATAATATAATTTTGTCAATTTAAGTAAAATAATGATCGATTATATATTTGCATTACTTTTAAAAAAGAGGACATTAGCAATTCGTTTTTCTTTTGACTAGATTACTCCCTTCAATTCCATTTTTCATTCCTTGCCTTGGCTTGTCTTCCTCCATATTGGTGGGTTGGAAAATGGGGGTGTTACAAGCAATCATACATTCTCATGACTTTTTATCATCTCTATCTATCATTAGAGAAATGGGATTGGATTCTCTCTCTTTAGTATTTAGGTTCAAATTGGATGCTCTCTATAATATCCTTTTTAAACATCTTCACATGGCTTTTACCGACCTCCACTATTTCTTGGATTAGATTCTCCTAAATTTTGGCTCTTATTTTTATTATTTTATACACTTAACTTAAATTAAATTAAATCAATTTGAAAGAGTAAATTGATTCTTAATTTTCATAGAACCTACTTCCTCTGTTCCACAAATATTGCAATAAGGATGAAATTACGCATTTCAAAGCACATTTTATATGCTACTCCCTCCGTCCCATAATACGTGACACAATATCCATTTTCGTCCGTCCCACAATACTTGACACGTTACTAAATATAGAATAGGATCACTAATAAAAAATATTTTCCCATATTTTCTCTCTCCTCACCTACCTCACTTGTTGTTTTCTTGTAATATAAAAATACAAAAGAGAATCTTTTATACAATAAACAAATGTTTTAAATAGACCAACTTGTAGTTTTCTTAAACTAAATGTCTACCCCAACGTCCCAAGTATTATGGGATGGAGGGAGTAAATATCTATAATTATATAAGAGTAAATATTATAAAAAAATTGATATTGTAAAAGTATTTTATGAGACGAATCTAAAAAAACCCCATATGACTATATTTTACTTAACGTATAAATCTTAATATGTGGTTAAATAAGCGTGATATATAGTGTAAAATTCCAGATGTTATAGTATTACTAGAATAGAGGAACTATAAAATAAAATGATTTGATGAATTTGGTATAAGAAGGATAGAGAAGCATATATATATATATATATATATATATATATATATATATATATATATATATATATATATATATATATATATATAATTTGAGAAGTGCAATTGTGCAAGGTCTATTAAACCTAGGTTAGTTGCATGATGCTATGGCCTAATTTTAGTGTGCCTTGTTTTTTAGGTGTTGCTTAAAAGTTAGACAGAGTAATAATTTCTCTTGATCAGTAATGCTATACTATGAACTCCCCAAAAAAAAAAAAAAATGGAATTTATTAAAGATCTATGTTAGAAGAATATTTGAACAGGAAATAATAAAGCTTATATAAAGAAAGTTTCAAACATTAGTCATAATATACGCTGAATATGTTAAAGCAATTTTAGGTTAGGTTAAATTTTGATCAAGTTTCTAGTGTTTTAAAAAGTACTTCCTCCGTCTCTATTTTTTTTGCCCCATTACCAAAATATAGGTCAAATTTTATAAACTTTGACTATAAATTCTCGTTGATCTACAAAAGGAAATATAATCATGTGATATTTTGTTTTGTTCGTTTTAGTGTAAATTTAATTAATATTAACTTTTTATAATTGTTACGCGTATGAAAATAGAGAAATAAACGTGTTAATGTGTGTTTTAAAGACCGCACAAAGTCAAATGGGGCAAAAATAAAGGAACAGAGAGAGTAGTTTATATAGATCTTTTATGAAAGAGGGAAGGAGGGATTCATCAAGTAGTTGATACAAATTTTAAAATAAGGCTGTCTTACCATTATGCTTGCACTGACTTAAAAAAGAGGTCTTATGATGATGATGCGGTCTTACGCAAAACGCAACTGTTTTCTCTCAAGTTAATTGGGACAAGCAAAAATGGGTTGTTTGCATTGCATGTCTTCGGTTCGAGTTGTGTTTGGTTTATATATGTCATTTACTCATCATGTTTATAGGCTTTGGTTTGTTTAAAAGGCCTCTCATAACCCAAGCAATACAGATTGTTTGGGTCCAATTTAGTCAAAATTGGGCCGGAGCACTAAATGATCCAATTAAAAGCCCAAGGTCAAGGTTCAACTCTCCAATTGCTCAAAAGTCAAAAGTCAGCCCACAAAGTAAGCCAATTAGGCTAAAGCCCAACCTCTCCAAGTATGATGAGGTATAAAAACCCTCATATTAACACATTCAAGGGGAGGGTCATATTCCGAGATCAGACACATTAACACATACATCATCACATACATTATCTCATACATTGATTATTCCAATTCATATGCTCATTCTTGCATTGAGAAATACTCCACAAAAGCCTCAAGCTACAAACTCTCTTGCATAGTGTCTTCCTTTTTACACATTGTACTGACTTTAGCATCGGAGGGGCCTTCCTCGGAAACACCCCCGAGGCTAGTTTACGTGTGTTCACTGTGCAGGAAACCTTCGGCCCAACACAGCTTGGATCGAATCCAGTCTTCTCCATTTTAGTGGACCTTCGGCAAGGTCCCATTGTTTTCAACCGAAACAATTTGGCGCCGTCTGTGGGGAAGACTTTCAAAAATCTTTAAGCCAAATTCCTAACCAAGATCATCTTGCAATTATCTTAGCAGCCATGGCTAAGAACCGCAAGAGCAAAAGCCTCCGTCAAGGAGCGGGCGAAAAGCCTAAAACCCCTACACCATCGCCCACGCCGGACCGGAACTCTCCCAAGGGTGCCGGCTCGGGGGGAGGATCACACAAGGAGGATTCCCTATCTCCTATAATGCATGACTCCCAATATAGGCCGGACCACTCTCGGTCTAGCAGGGGTCAGTCTGATCATAGGACATATTCGGTGTCCCGAAGCCAACCATCGGCTGCACGGCCTCATGCCCACACTCGGCCGGGGACCCCTTTGACGGGGCCCAGTTCGGAAGAGGTGGCAAGAGCGCTGGCAGTACTCATGGAGGCAATGAGGGCACAGAATATGCCACCGCCTCGTGATCGAACTCCTCCGCATACCCGGCATCAGCGGAGGAAGTTAGACCATGACGGTGGGAAGCTTCCTTCCTTCCGGGAACTGGAAGAGTGGGAGGAGGATTCTTGGAAAAATGAAAAACAGAGGAAGAAGAACTCTCAATTATTTAAAGGATCCTCATCCTCAAGACCAGCAGCGCATAAGAGCAGCAGCTCAGCTTCTCGGCCAGAATCTACTCGCCGGGAACCCGAGACTGCTCGCAGAAGCGTCCTTGACCGACTCGGCGGCCAGGAACCGAGCGTGCGTAGTCGCCTCTCGTTCCCTGCAGCCGAGGCCCAGACTTCCCAGCCAGGGACGAAAACCACTCCTACCTCTCTAAGAGGGCGGA